TTTCACCCCCTTTCCCCATCCCCCCCATTTCACCCCCATCCCCATTTCCCCCCCTTTCTCTCCCACCCCCCCTTCCTCCATCCCCATTCCCCCCCTTTCTTCCCCATCCCCATTTCACCCCCTTTCCCCCCATCCCCCCATTTCACCCCATCCCCATTTCCCCCCCTTTCTCCCCCATCCCCCCATTTCACCCCCATCCCCCATCCCCATTCCCCCCCCTTTCTCCCCATCCCCCCATTTTACCCCTTCCCCCCTCCCCATTTCACCCCCTTTCTCCCCCATCCCCATTTCACCCCCTTTCCCCCCATCCCCCCCATTTCACCCCATCCCCATTTCCCCCCCTTTCTCCCCCACCCCCCCTTCCTCCCCCCCCATCCCCATCCCATTCCCCCCCTTTCTCCCCCATCCCCATTTCACCCCCTTTCTCCCCCATCCCCCCATTTCACCCCCATCCCCATTTCCCCCCTTTCTCCCCATCCCCATTTCCCCCCCTTTCCCCCCATTTCACCCCCTCCCTCCCCCACCCCCCAGCTCCCCCGCCCCCTCTCCCACTCCCCTCCCCCTCCTCCTCCTCCTCCTCCCGGGGCAGCGGCCCCGGGGGGGGGTGGGGGTGGGGGGGAACCCCCCCACCCCCCCCCCCCCCGGTGGCGCTGCCCCGGGGAGAGATGAAGGAGGAGGAAGAGGAGGAGAAGAAGGAGATGGAGGAGGAGGAGGAGGAGGAGGAGGAGGAAGAAGAGGAGGTCCCGAAGCTTTCGCATCTGCTCTCAAGACCCTGGAGCAAAGCCCCGGTCGCCGCGTTGGCCGTTTGGAGCTGATAACGGCGGCGTTAGCGGCCATGGAAGCGATGGGAGCGGAACGGGACCGGCTTTCTTACCATCGAGTTCTCCGGTTGTTGCCTAGAGGGCCTTGGGTACCACGCAGCGCCCTCCAGCGGATGCTGGCGCCGTTCCCCCGGCAACAGGAGTGTGGGGTGAAGATCCTGGAGCAGATGGAGCGATACGGTGAGAAGAGGGGATGGGGGGGGGGGATATAGGGTGATGTTGCCCCACATAGCCCCTATGTGTGTTGAGATCTATGGGGCGCATCTATATCCTATGCCTCATGTGTTTTATGCCATGTGCCCCATATGATATTCCCATTTCCTATCCCGTTTCCCGTGCTGTGTATCCTATATGGCATGTTTTGTGTGCCATATCCTGTACCCCTTATTGCGTTTCCCTTACCCATATCCCATGTCCCATCCGCCATATCCCATACCCCATATCCCATCTTCCATACCCCATATCGTATACCCCATATCCCATCCGCCATATTCCATATCCCATACCCCATATCCCATTTTCCATACCCCATATCGTATACCCCATATCCCATACCCCATATCCCCATCCCCCACACCCCATACCCCATCTCCCATACCCCACACCCCATATCCCATACCCCATACCCCACACCCCATACTCTGTATCGTATACCCCATCTCCCATATCCCATATCTCATGCCCCATATCCCATACCCCATCTCCTATATCCCATATCCCATTTCGCTTTCCCATATCCCATACCTCATTTCCTATACCCCATATCCCATACCCCATATCTCATATCCCATACCCCACACCCCATACCCCATCTCCCATACCCCATATTGTATACCCCATCTCCCATACCATTTCCCATATCTCATGTTCCATATCCCATACCCCATATCCCCATCTCCCACACCCCCTACCCCATCTCCCATACCCCATATTGTATACCCCATCTCCCATACCCCACACCCCATATCCCATACCCCGTGTCATATACTCCATCTCCCATCTCCCATACCCCATATCCCATACCCCATCTCCTATATCCCATATCCCATTTCCCTTTCCCATACCCCATACCTCATTTCCTATACCCTATACTCCATAACCCATATCTCATATCCCATCCCCCACACCCCATCCCCCACACCCCATACCTCACACCCCATATCCTATATCTCATATCCCATCCCCCATATCCCCATCCCCCATACCCCATCTCCCACACCCCACATCCCATACCCCATATCCCATACCCCATATCCCATGTCCCTGTACCCCATATCCCATATCCCATGTCCCATACCCCATATCCCATATCCCATGTCCCATATCACATATCCCATATCCCATACCCCATATCCCATATCCCTGTACCCCATATCCCATGCCCTGTATCCCATACCCCACACCCCATACCCCATCTCCCACACCCCACATCCCATACCCCATGTCCCTGTACCCCATATCCCATGCCCTGTATCCCATACCCCATCTCCCACACCCCACATCCCATACCCCATATCCCTGTACCCCATATCCCATGCCCTGTATCCCATACCCCACACCCCATACCCCATCTCCCACACCCCACATCCCATACCCCATGTCCCTGTACCCCATATCCCATGCCCTGTATCCCATATCCCATACCCCCTACCCCATACCCCACATCCCATACCCCATATCCCATGTCTTGTATCCCATACCCCACACCCCATCTCCCACACCCCACATCCCATACCCCATATCCCATATCCATATCCCATATCCCTGTACCCCATATCCCACACCCCACACCCCATCTCCCACACCCCACACCCCACATCCCCCCCATAGGGGTGGTCCCGGACGCGGAGACTCGGTTCCTGCTCTTGGGGGTCTTTGGCCCCCGCAGCCGCCCGGTGCGGAAGTGCCAGCGCCTGCTCTATTGGCTGCCCCGCATGAGCCGCATCAACCCGCACCCGCTGCCCGCCCCACTGCCGCCCCCCGGCCTGCCCCGCGCCCGCCTCGCCCTGCAGCGCATCCAGCCCCACACCGCGCTCACCGTGTACCAGGTGCGGGGGGGGCTATGGGGTTGTGGGGCTTGGGGGGGGGGCTATGGGGTTGGGGGGGGCTATGGGGTTGTGGGGGCTATGGGGTTGTGGGGGGCTATGGGGTTGGGGGAGGCTATGGGGCTGTGGGGGGTTGTGGCTATGGGGACTATGGGGCTATGGGTTGTGGGGGCTATGGGGCTGTGGGGCTTGGGGGGCCTATGGGGTTGTGGGGGCTATGGGGTTGTGGGGGCTATGGGGTTGGGGGGGGCTATGGGGTTGTGGGGGCTATGGGGCTGTGGGGGGCTATGGGGTTGGGGGGGCTATGGAGTTGTGGGACTTGGGGGGGCTATGGGGTTGTGGGGGGCTCTGGGGCTGTGGGGGGCTATGGGGTTGTGGGGTTTGGGAGGGGCTATGGGGCTGTGGGGGCTATGGGGCTGTGGGGGGCTATGGGGTTGTGGGGGCTATGTGGTTGTGGGGGCTATGGGGTTGGAGGAGGCTATGGGGTTGGGGGGGGCTATGGGGTTGTGGGGGGCTATGGGGTTGGGGGAGGCTATGGGGCTGTGGGGGGCTATGGGGTTGTGGGGGCTATGGGGGGCTATGGGTTGTGGGGCTATGGGGTTGTGGGGGCTGTGGGAGGCTATGGGGCTGTGGGGGGCTATGGGGTTGTGGGGCTTGTTGGGGGCTATGGGGTTGTGGGGGGCTATGGGGTTGTGGGGACTACGGGGTTGTGGGGGCTATGGGGGCTATGGGGCTATGGGGCCTATGGGGCTGTGGGGGCTATGGGGGGAATAAACCCTCGGTGACCATCGGGTCCCCCCCACAGCACCCGCTGCCGGAGGAGGGTGATGGGGAAGGCTCCATCCAGCCCTACATCATCGGTGAGCACCCACAGGGGTTGGGGGGCAGCAGTGGGGTCCCCATATCGCGGTTTGGGGTCCCCATATCGCAGTTTTGTGGTCCCCATATCACGATTTTAGGTCCCCATATCGTGGTTTTGGGTCCCCATATCGAGGTTTTGGGTCCCCATATCGAGGTTTTGGGTCCCCATATCGTGGTTTTGGGTCCCCATATCGCGGTTTGGGGGTCCCCATATCGCGGTTTGGGGTCCCCATATCGAGGTTTGGGGTCCCCATATCGCGGTTTTAGGTCCCCGTATCTCGGTTTTAGGTCCCCATATCGCGGTTTTAGGTCCCCATATCGCGATTTTAGGTCCCCATATCGCGGTTTTGGGTCCCCATATCGCGATTTTAGGTCCCCATATCGCGGTTTTAGGTCCCCATATCGTGGTTTTGGGTCCCCATATCGCGGTTTTAGGTCCCCATATCGCGGTTTTGGGGTCCCCATATCACGGTTTGGGGGTCCCCCCCCCCCTCTTTCCCCCCATAGGCTCCCAGAGCGAGGACCAGCGGGACCTCCTGGCCCGGCACAACCCCTCCCGCCCGGTCTACGTGGAGGGCCCCTTCCCTCTCTGGCTCCGCAGCTCCCAGCTGCACTACTACGTGCTCCGGGGGGACCCCCTGCCCCCCAACCTGCGGGTGAGCCCCACACACAGCACCTATGGGGCAGCACGGGGACCACCCCCCACCCCCGTTCCCCCTGGAAATGGGGTTCAATTGGGGTCTTTGCCCCCTTCCCCCCCAAAGGAGGAGCCCCTCGACCCTGAGCGCAGCTTCTATTACCCCCTGTATCTGGACCTGGACCTGGAGCGTGGCCCCTGGGATGATGAAGACTTCGATATAGATGAAGGTTTGGGGTTTGGGGGGTGTTAGGGATGGAGGTGGGGGGGTCCAACCCCTCTCACCCCCTCTCACCCCCTTTTTCCCCCCCTATACAGTGGAGGAAGGACCCATCTTCGCCCTGTGCATGGTGGGAGCCGGCGACCGCCGCACGCTGGGGAAGTGGCTCTCGGGGCTGCAGGAGGAGAACCCGGTGCTGGGGAAGACCCCCGTTATCTTCCGCCTTAACGAAGGGGGGCACCCGCAACCGGGACCCCCCCTCGCACAGCTGGAACCCCCCCGGCAGGGACGTGGAAGCATCGCGGGGGGCACTGAAAGCCCAGGGGAATAAAGGAGGTGACACCATGGAGAGGGGTGTGCTGTGCTGGGGGGTTGGGGGGGGAGCCGGGACTGGTGCTCTTTAGGACCCGGGGCTGATGCTCTTTAGGACCGGGACCGATGCTGTTTAGGACCCGGGGCTGATGCTCTTTAGGACCGGGACTGGTGCTCTTTAGGACCCAGGCTGATGCTCTTTAGGACCCGGGGCTGATGCTCTTTAGGACCCGGGGCTGATGCTCTTTAGGACCGGGACTGATGCTCTTTATTACCGGTACTGATGCTCTTCATTACCGGGACCGATGCTCTTTAGGACCCGGTGCCGATGCTCTTCATTACCGGGACCGATGCTCTTTAGGACCCGGTACTGATGCTCTTTATTACCGGTACTGATGCTCTTTATTACCGGGACCGATGCCCTTTAGGACCCGGTGCTGATGCTCTTTAGGACCGGGACTGATGCTCTTTAGGACCCGGGGCCGATGCTCTTTAGGACCCGGTACTGATGCTCTTTATTACCGGTACTGATGCTCTTCATTACCTGAACCGATGCCCTTTAGGACCCGGTACCGATGCTCTTTATTACCGGTACTGATGCTCTTCATTACCGGGACCGATGCCCTTTAGGACCCGGTACTGATGCTCTTTATTACCGGTACCGATGCTCTTTATTACCGGACCCAATGCTCTTTATTACCGGGACCGATGCCCTTTAGGACCCGGTGCTGATGCTCTTTAGGACCCGGTGCCGATGCTCTTTATTACCGGTACTGATGCTCTTTATTACCGGACCCAATGCTCTTCATTACCGGGACCGATTCCCTTTAGGACCCGGTGCCGATGCTCTTCATTACCGGGACCGATGCCCTTTAGGACCCGGGGCTGATGCTCTTTATTACCGGTACTGATGCTCTTCATTACCT